CTGGTGACAGCCAGGCCTCTGGTTACCAGTGTCTGTCTAGCTTCCTTGGAGAAAGGCCATCTGGAGCCAGGCGTGGTGGCGCACGCCTGTCATCCCAGCACTCTGGGAGGCTGAGGCAGGAGGATTGTGACCTCGGGCCCAGCCTGGGCAATTTAGCAATGTAGCAAGCTCCTCTCTCAAAAGAAAAAAGAGGGGCTGGGGATTTAGCTCGGCGACAAAACACCTGCCTGGCAAGCGTGAGGTCATAAGTTCGATTCTTGGTACCAAAAAAAAAAAAAAAGAAAGAAAAAAGGCTGAGGATGTAGCTCAGTGTGAGGCCCTGGGTTTGCTCCCTAGTAAAGAGCAGAAACAAACAGACCCCCCCACCCCCGGCTGTCTGCAAGATGAGAGACGGGGCCAGTGAAGGCCTGCAGGATGAGCAGGTGATGGTGCTGGGCGGTGGAGGGGCCTGGCAGCCAGGCCTGTCCTGTCTCTGGGCTCAGGCCGGGCGGCTGCTTGGTGCCGGCAGAGGCTGCGGTGGGGTCTGCCTTGGGGATGGGGCGGCCAGCACGTAGCTTCTGCATCACGACGGGAGGACCAAGCACTGTGCTAACCGGCCTCAGAGCCCCCAGAATGAATGGGTGAATGAATGAATGAATGAATGACCTCCTCCTGTGAGGAGGGACCCCTCTGTGGTCTCTGGGCTCCCTCTACTCCTGCACTGTGCCCTTCAACGGTAGGCTGAGCCCTGCTTCACCCACTGGTGTAATTTTTTAAAGATGCCGTGGCTTCCGGGTGTCAGGTTGTAACGCACTGCACCAAGCAGAGCTGCACACATAGCTCTGAGCTGTCACCTCCCTGCCTTGGAACAAGGCCTGTAAGATTTTTTTCCCAATGGCAGCACCCGGGAGGCTGAGGCAGGAGGATCGCCATGAGTTTGAGACCAGCCTGGGCTACAAAGTGAGCTCAAGGCCAGCCTGAACTGCATATCAAGACCCTGTCTCAAAAAGACAAAAAAAAAATTTTTTTTTCACCAGTGCTGGGGATGGAAGCCAGGGCTCCACATCGGATAGGCAAGTGCACTGCCTCTGACTCAGCTAGACCTTCAACCCTACCCTTGAGAGTTTTAGAAACTGGTATTTTTGTTTGTTTTTGAGACAGGGTCTGGCTGTGCAGTTCAGGCTGGCCTTGAACTCACTTTGCAGGCCAGGCTGGCTTCCAACTTGCAGTAATCCTCCTGCCTCAGCTTCCCTGAGAGCTGGGATTACAGGTATGTGCCATGGTTGTCAGGTAGTTCCTTTAAAAATGGCTCACCAATTAAATTTATTCCAGGTCCTTCTTGTCTCAAATAAAGAACTGGACTAGACAAGCCATAAACGGTGCCAAAAGTTTATTTGAAAAGTGAGGGGAGAAGGGGTAAGGGGTTGAGAGTGAGCAAGAGATAGATAGATAGATGATAGATAGATGAGAGAGAGAGAGAGAGAGAGAGAGAGAGAGAGAGAGAAGAATAAAAGCAAAAATAAAAGTACACTCTGGTCTAGAAGACACAGAGTGGGCTATTGTGAAGAGTCACCACAGCAGGCTCCGTGTGGCCTGTGTCCTTATACGCAGTCTGCATTTCCTGGGAGCCTGCGAGATACTTTATATACGGGGTCCTGGGAATTATTTGGCGCTGTCCTGGGATCTTGTAATTGACAAGTCCCGCTCATTTGCCCAGCCGACTTTGCTAGGTCCTACCTCCCACATCACCACCAAACCTGGCTGTCTCTGGCCTTTTTATTTTAAGGCAGAGTGCCATGGTTTATATCTAGATTCCCACCCCCACCCCCCTCCAAGGCTTATGGGCTCACAGACGGGGCTTTTGAATGGCGATTGGACGGTGGGGCTGTACAGCCGACTGCCCTAGGGAGAAAGGGTCTGGGAAGAGGCGGTCGCTGGGGGCGTGGCTTGGGCTCGTCTTCCTCCTTGGCTCCTCCCTTTCTCCCAGCGATTCTGCCTCGGAGCGGGCTGCCTAGGGGCTGAAACTTCTAAAAACTGCTGAGTTCAATTCCCGGCACCAAAAAAATAAAAAAATAAAAACTGTAGACAGGCTGGACACCGATAATCTCAGCTATTTGGGAGGCTGAGGCAAGAGGATCTCAAGTTCAAGGCCAGCCAAGGGAATTTAGCCAGACACTGTGTTTAAATAAATAAATAGGGCTCAGGGTTCCAATATTGCAAAAACAAACAAACAAAAACGAAACAGAATACCGAGCCAAAACAAAACAAAAATAAAACAAAACCAACAAACATATTCTGGAAAGAGCCCAGCTTATCAAGAGAGATGGTGAAGGAGCTGGTGGCCCCAGCTCCGGGTCCCTGCTTGGCATTGGAGGATGGGACCCCTGCACCCCTGCAGCCTGCGCAGCGGTCAGAGAGAGGCACAGACAGATGCGAAAGGCAGAGTGCTTCCTCTTTCACAGACAGAGCAGGTGAAGGTAGTTCAGGGGATGGGGATTCAGTCCTCGGGGAGGGCCGGGGGTGCTGCCTGGGAAGGAGATGCCCCATCTCTTGGCCATGGTGCTGTGCGCCTTCGTTTGCTAAACTCAGCAAAGATCACTTGTTTGTTTGTTTGTTTGTTTTTTGTTTTTTCTCTGGTACCAGGAACCGAACTCACGACCTTGCGCTTGCCAGGCAGGTGCTTTGCCGCTGAGCTAAATCCCCAGCCCCAGCAAAGATCACTTGTGATCTACACACTGGGGCTGGGGGGCAGCTCCGTGGTTCAGCCGGGTTCAGTACGCACCTGCCCTGGGCTCAACCCCAGCCCTGGCCTCAACACAAAAACATTTCACTGATTATAAATTTTGCCCAAACAACAACAAAGACTCCAAACAAACACTGATTTCTAACGATATACATTTAGGGTTGTTCTGTCCTTGTGTCTACGCCTGCATTGGAAATGCAGTTTTAAAGAGATGGATCCAGATGGGGTGGCACATGCCTGTCACCCCAGTACTCTGGGAGGCTGAGGCAGGAGAATCGAACATTCGAGAACAGGTTGGAAAACTGAGCAAGACCCTGTCTCAAAATAAAAGAAAAAATAAAGAGATCAGGGTTGGGGAGGCGCTCAAGGGTGGACCTCTCGTCTAGCACGCTAAAGGCCCTGGGCTCCATCCGGGAGCCGCATGAGCAAACAAACAGCTGAATAGGTGGAGGGCAGGCCGGCGGGAGAAAGCAAGGGCGACCCCTGTGTGCACAGGAGCGTTCACCACGCTGTTGCTTCCGCCCTCCTTTAAGTTTAAGGTTTTCCTAATGAGAAGCTGGAGGAGGAGGAAGAACCCAGAGGCCCCTCCCCTGCTCCCCAGGGGCTGTTTCAGGCCATGGCTCTGGGCCAGCAGCTTCTTGCCAGGGCAAAGCTAATTTATTCCCAACTTATTAACTTAGAGCCCATTAGGCTGTTTCCCATCAGCCCCACCTGCCGTGGGAGCCGCATGGGGCAGCGGAGAGGCTGGAGGGGCGGCGGGAGCAGCCTAGGCTCTGGCCCCCTGTGGGCTGGGGACAACTGGGGCTGTCCCCTGCCCCCACCCGGTGCAGAGTGTGGTCCTCACGGAGGTCACCTCCTGAATTCTCCCAGTTATGGTTCCCCGGGAGCCTGTCACAGACAGGGAGGCCAGGGTGGGGAACGGAGGCTGGGGACGCCCTGGGGGTGCCGCCTGATGGGGGATGCCTGATGGTGGGGGTGGGCAAGGGTGAGGCTCAGCCGGGACACAGGGTCAGGCGGGCTCTGCTTGCGCCTGGATCGGCCACCACCTGCTCTCCCTCCACCCCCACACCGTGCGGCGAGACTCCCAGAGACCGCGAGACCCGCCGGTGTGGGCAGAAAAACCACAGTGAAGGCCAGGTGGTGCACAGCCTGCAGGCCCAGCGGGACAGGCAGGGGTGGCGCTCACCGCACAGCTGCAGCCGGGCTGGGGCTAAGGGCATCCCTGCTGAGATGGCACAGAGAGCAGCAGAGCCTGCCCAGGATGCACAGCAAGGCCGGCAGACCGCAGCCCATCCTTATGCCAGCTCGCTGGCCGCCCACGCCTCGGACCCCTTGGTGTGACCCGGCCAGGCCCTGAGACAGAGGCCCCAAGCCACAGGCAGCCTTCCGGGGCTCCATCCCAGGGCCCAGGCCTCGAAGCAGGCGGACTCCCAGGCCTGCTGTGGCTGCTGGCTGCCAGCCCAGGACAGGAGCCGCCTGGCCCTGGCCCAGAAGCTGTGGCTGGAAGCAGCTCTTCATTATGGTTGCTGAGGATGAGGCAGCGGGCAGGCGGGAGGCCCACTGCGGGGGGAGCCTCAGGTGACCCCAAGACTGCTGCCACTCCGAGCTCTGGCCTGTGGCTCTGCCCCCCCGGCTCAGCATCAACCCCAGGCCACACTCAGTCACCTGTGGCCCCCACACACCACGGGGCGCCTCTGTTACGCGGGTTTTACCCTCAAGTTCCTGCCATCCGTGCACACGCTGCCTCCGCCACCCCCGCCCCCCGGCCCGTGCTTCTGTGAGGTTCCAGGGCCTCCGCGCCTCCTCCAGGCAGCCCGCTGACTTGGAGGAGGGATGACCCCGAAAGCTCATCAGAGGCCCAACGACGCCCCGCTTGCAGGTGGGGCGAGGCCTAGAGAGGCGAAGGCAGCTCCCCGGGGTCACACAGCTCAGCTCAGAAGCCTGGCGGACTTGGGCCAAGGTCAGGGAGGGGGCGCCCGGGAGTGCTGTTGAAAGAATGCTGAACAAGACCCTCAGGAGGGTGGGCGGCTGTGACCCTGGCCCAGGGCCCAGCCCTCCCCACCACCCAGACGGACCAGGCAGGATGGGCCACAGACTGGGGCCCCTCAGTTCCCTGTGCAGCTCCTGAGCAAGCGGGGACCCATTTCACAGATGAGTAGGAGGAGCCAGACAGCCTGGGCTGGCTGGGCTGGGGTGGGATGGGGTGGGGCAGAGCCCAGTCCGACCCCAGGCTGTCCCGCGCCAGAGCCAGTACCCCCAGACCCCACCTGGGCCTTACCTGGGCTCCCCTGGGCTCCCTCCACGCCTGTCCCCACGCTGTCACCGTCTGCTGTCAGCAGTGTGCGAGGAGCCTTTGTACTCTCTATTTACAAGAGGAGACTTGTGAGCAAATTAGCAGGGTAACCAGGGAAAATGTTTGGCTTCCGTGGGCGGGAGCTGCAGCCATCTGTTCCCAAGTGCTGAGAAAACACTGGCGCTGTCGCCCGAGGCTCAGGGGCCAGCAGAGCTTTGGAGAGCCGGCCTGTCACGCACAAGCTGTGTGTCTCCAGCCAGGGCACTCGCCCTCTCTGGGTGTTAATGTCTGGCTCTATAAAACTGAGGGCCGTGTCCAGCGTATGGTTCCTGGATGCCCCTGCCTCCCCACACCTCCAGCTTCCCCCTGCTGGACCTCGTGTCCTTTATCCCCCAGCCCCAAGACCAACCCCACCCGGGCAGGGAAGGATACCAGTTACCACCAGGGGACAGCGGCCTGAGGGGTTGGATGGCGAGGACCTCATTTGTCCCCAACTGAGAATAGCGTTATTGTTTCCTCTGGGTATAAAGGTGATCATTTACCCCTCTGGAATGTGCATGGTAGGCAGCTGAGGAGACATTGTTGTGGAATTATCTGTCCAGAGTCTTCTTGAAGAGGGTCCACACGGTGGGAGTCCTGGATGGGACACTGGAGGGGCAGGGAGAGACACAGGGGGGTCACCCACACTGCTAGGGTTTAGGTCCAGAATGGCCCCCTAACCCTCCTGTGCTGGGGTTGGAAGGGGTGGGGTTGTGCAGGACCAGGCTCATCACGGATGAATCCCGGCTGAACGTGCAGGTCCAAGGTGGAGCCCGGAGCAGGCGGGCACCGAGCTGTGACCCTGAAGGCTGTGTCTTTGTCCTCGGCTCCTCCCTTTCCTCTCTGCTTCCTGCTTGCCGTGGGCTGAGCAGCTTTCCTCCGCCACACCTTCCCACTGCGCAGTTTCTGCCTTGGAGCCGGCCAACCGTGGACCGCATCCCCTCAACCCTGCGCCAGATTACACCTTTGCTCCTGTGACCCGTGAGTGCAGGGTGTCGCATCCCAGGGACGTGGGAGCGGACGCATACACTTTCCCACCCCAGACTCTTTGCTCTTCACGGGGGCCCTGGAGATGGTGGTCTCGAGGACGAGGTTTCTGAGGGACGCCACCCCTCAAGGGTCTGCGCCTCACTGCCTTCTTCAGTGTGATGCCAGACAGGATCCTCAGCCTCACAGACCCTCAGCTGTGTCCCCTGTAGAGTGGGGTGACAATAGGACCATGTCATAGGATTGATGGAATTACATTAAAGGCGTGCGACAATTGTCAAGCCAGGGCTGGCCCTGAATAGGTGCCCAGTTTCAATTAACTGTGGTCAGCAAGACCAGCAGTAAAAGAAATGCCTGGTTTTTCATTTTTTTTTCCTTTGTGGCTGGGGATTGAGCCCAGGGCCTTTACACTGAGCTATAGCCTTAGTCTTTTATTTATATTTTGTTTTTTTGAGACAGGGTCTTGCTAACTCACTAAGTTGCCCAGGCTGGGCTCCAACTTGTGATCCTCCTGCCTCAGCCTCCCTGAGTGCTGCAATCACAGGTGTGTGCCACCATATCCTGCTTGATTGGAGGTTCTTTTTTTGTTTGTTTGTTTTTGTTTGTTTGTTTTTTTCTGGTACCAGAAATTGAACTCACAACCTTGCGCTTGCCAGGCAGGCACTGTGCCGCTGAGCTAAATCCCCAGCCCCCTGATCTGAGGTTCTTAATCATGGTGTGTGGCTCTTTGCCCTTTAACCCTCATCCTTTGCCTGACCCCAAGTTCTAGACTCCGTGTCTTTGTTCATGCCATTCTGTCTCCAGGATGCTGTCCCCGGCCGTCTGCCTGAATTGTTAGAGCCCCTGATGCTTGTGCTTGTGACAGACGCTGTGCGAGTGCCCCAAGGTGGGAGGGCTGGGGCTGGGGATCCTGGACGGGAGGCTGGGAGGCGGTAGTGTTGGCGGAAGGAGTTTATCCTGGCTTGGGGATTCAGGAACCACATCGAGTATCCCCTGATAAAGCCCTTTAAGCCCGCTTCAGAGAAAAAGTACGAAGAGGAATCAAAGAGCTTGCTCAGGCTCTAAGCTTGCTGGGTGACATTTGCCTGTGCCTCAGTTTCCCCACCTGTAAAGGACAGAGTTGAGGCTGGCCTGTGGTCCCTGAGGGCTTGTGCTTCCGGTGAGCTGTGGTGGCTTCAGGTGTCCCACCTGCCTCTGGGGGGAGGTGGAGTGGCCAGTGAGGAAGGCTTTGGGGCAGTCAGGGGATGGCATCCCTGGGTCATTGTGCTGCTCAAGAAGGGCAGTGGGCTGGAGCCTGGCCACACGGCCTGCCTGGGTGCACGGCTTTCATCTCCTCTTAATTTGGGAAGCCGAGGTCAAGCTTCCGCAGCCACCTGTCTGCAGTGTGCATGCTGAGATGCGGAGTGAAGATCAGGAAGACATGGAACAAGACAGACAGAGGCAGGGCCTGGCAGCATTATTTGTGGCCCTGGACCCAGCCTTACCGGATAGCCTCTGCTCCAACCAGTTAATTCCCTTCTTGTCAGAAAGCCAGTTGAGTGTTATTTCTCCCACTTGGAATCTGAGGCACCTATTTCCAGGAAAAGGAAACTGGCTTCTCTTGTCTTATTCCGGGTGCTGGCAGCCCCTCCTTCCCCACCACTTAGAGCTCAAGGAGTGGTGATGTCACCTTTGTTCCTGCCCCAGGTGACTGCAACGTCTTGAAACCGCAGCCACTCATGAAACCCATTCCGTTGTAAATAGGCCGTGAGAACCACCCTGTCCTGCCTGTGCTGTCTGGTGTCCCTCAGAGCTCCTTGTCTCCGGTCCCACCTCCAGGGGCCTCCAACCCAGGGCAGTGTTGCAGGTGACAAACCAAAAACTTTGGGTCCTATGTCACCCACCCATCAGACCATTTAGGGACAAGGCCCAGCAGGGCTGAGGGAAGGCAGTCCACACTTGCTTGTGGTTGTGGCTTCCTGTGGTGGCCCTTGTGGAAAGTCACTCAGCTGTGTAACAAACATCCCCCAAACCTGGTACTGGGGTGCAGCTCAGCACTTGTGAGCCCCCAGGCTCCACCCCCAGCACCAGAAAGACCCAAACCACAAGAGAAGAGGGTTGAAGCAACAGTGCCCACCTCCAGAGCTGGCGGGGGTTGGTCTGGGCAACTGTCCCTGTTGCGTGTTTCTTTATGGTCACTTTTTTTTTTGTCTTTTTTTTGAGACAGGGTTTTGCTATGTAGTTCAGGCTGGACTTGAACTCACTATGTAGCTCACACTGGGCTCAAATGTGGCCACTTTCCTGCCTCAGCCTCCCGAGTGCTGGTATCAGAGGTGTGGGCCACCACGCCCGGTGAATTCACTGAATTAAAATTCTAAGGGTTTAGTGGGAAGCAGAGCAGCGAGTCTATTCCCGGCTCTTTGATCCTTATCGGTATTGTCAATGCCATGACAACACAGATAGGGCTTTTAAACCGCGAGTGACTTTGCAAGCAGCAAAGCTGATATTTTTATCCTTGTGGAGCTTCTGGGATAATCACCCTCTAGGGCTGTGGTCAGGCCTGCCTGGGTCAAGGCCTTGGTGCTACCCTGGGCCCCTTGGTGCAGGGCTGGTGGGCCCTGGGGTTCCTTGACGTGACTTTGACTTCGCTCTGCAGCTTGGCTCCGCCTCTCCCCCATGCCACCCCACTCCTCCGCTTCTTGAAGGACATTTGCAAGGACAGCAGAGCTTTGTGACCAGTGTCATCCACACTCAACCTCAGTTCCACTTGAAGGCGTGATCTTCAGCTTGAGGGGCCACACACAGTGACAAAGTGACACATACAGGGACACAGTGAAACAGACACGCAGCTGCACACACAGTGACACGGTGACAGGTACATAGTGTCACATGACACAGTGACACAGCGATACCACACGCCGATAGATACAGTGACGCACACAGACACACAGTAACAGTGACACACAAGCAACACAGACCCCCCGCGGTGACACACACAAGGGCACAGTGGTCTCTGTGTTGCTGGCCTCAAGGGCGGCTGAAGGCAGGGCCGCTCTAGCGCAGGACAGCATGGTGTCACGGCGGCTCAGGGTGGGTGCCCGTCAGCACAGCAGTCAACAGGCCTGGCCCAGCTTCCAGCCCCGCTCCTTACCCCACCCCACCCCCGGGCCCCTGCTTATGTGGGGACTCCATCCTGCTCCCTGATAAAAAGGTGCCTCACTTTCCCAAAGGGGCTCCCCAGCTACTGCCCAGAGAGGGGCACTCGCCTGCCTCAGGCAGCCGCAGACTGGAAGGAAGGCTGAGGGGGGAAGGTTGTCCTCCTAGAACCTTCCCCCTGTCCCTCGCCACACCCACCTTCCCAGCTCTCGGACAGGCTCTGGGCCCTGCTGGCCCCAAGACCTGGGGAGCTGTGGAGTAAGCCCCGGTGCCCCAGGACTTCTTGCTCCCAGTGGCTCCTTTAGAGCGGGGTCTCAGCCACGTCATCTTGCTTTTAATATACTCCAAGTAGGACAGAGCACCAGGCAGTGATGGTCACCAGTGACAGAACAAACGAGAGTAGCCCCTGTGCTTCTTGGTGAGCCCTAGGACCAGGTCAGGGACCGGGCCTCAGGGCCTGCTGGATGGCCCTTCTCGGGCCCTTCCCAGCTCCAACAGAGGGAAAATAGGAGAGGAAGGTCTGGATGGCTTGGGGCTGGGAAGAGCTGCGTGAAGCCCGGTCCCCCCTCTGGAGCTCAGCCCCCAAGGCCTGGACGTGCCGGGAAAGCCGACCTGGTGAGGGTCTCTGTAGATGCTCCCTGCAGCGCAGGCAGCAAGCTAAATGCCTCAGGGCGGGACACAGACAGGAAGGGGCTCCTGGGGACTGGGACATTGGCGGCTCGCTGGGTGTACACCTCGGGGCACGATGGTCCCGGAGCAGGAGTCAGGGGGTTTGGGTTGAAGATGCTGCAGCAGGAGTCCAGGTGGAGCCCCTGGTCACACTAGCCGGGACTCTTTTCACTCAACAGGTGTGACACCCACGTGTGCTGGGACCCATGCTGGCACCAGGGACAGCAAGACAGAG